TGCTCTTCACTTCAGTATTGTGTCCACAGGCTTGCAAGATTTTGCATTTTTGAGCAGGCACATTTGCTTAAAAGAACACAGGGTGAACAGTGGATAACATCACAGGGATTCTACCGCCTTTGGAGCCTCTGACATACGATAGCCAGTGGTGTTCCCTGGCAAAATTGTTGCCCCCCCCCCCTGGGAAAATCTGGGCTTAAGATAATTATCCATGGCTGAAAACGCAGGAAATAGCATTTCCGAGGTTCAAATTTTAAAATTTTCTCGGGGGAGCATGCCCCCGAACCCCCCAAGGTTACAGGTCATTCATATACTGTACCCTCCCCCATTTTCGAGTACTCTACTCTATCCCTGCATGTTTTAGGTTTTGGTGCAGTTATGCATTCTTTGTAAGTAAACTTGCACGCTTTAGTGTGGGGAACATTAAGACATAACCATATAAAATAAAGCACAGTGAAAATTCCTTGGCCCCCTTGGGATTCAGTTCTCGGCCTCCTCTGACTGAAAACCCCTGCTACGTCTCCGATGATAGCTATATGAAAGCCTAAAGTTGCTGTAAGCCGTTATTATGAGAGGCAAAAAAAATATCCTGCGGCCAAATATATTGGGAAAAAAATATCTTGCGCTGCACTTTTACAGGAAAAAAATATCTGTCTCGTTCGCCTGGGCGGAAAAAAAATTCTTGCACAGACTGAATCTTCCACCCCCCCCTCAAAAGTCAAATGGTCTGCCCCTTAGCCTAGACTATTTATCTTTACAACAATTGTCATGTAAGTTACTTTCCTAACTATGTTTATCCGAATTCACCCTGTCAACTTTCGCTATGGGAGGAAACTGCATGGAACGCCCAGAGAAAGCCTCACGACTTTCGGCAAAGTGTTGACAGACTCCTTTCACAAGTGTCATGAATCCGTATAGCGAGAATCTAACCCACGATCTCAGAGGTAAAAGGCAATTAAGGCGCCACATTGTCTCACTGAAACAGAATTGAAGTTAGAAAGATTCGCAAAGATGTGTACAGTCAAAGGCCAGTAGGACTTTTCTCTCTCTAGTTAAGGTGGATGGTGCTATACCAATCTGGATAATTTATCATTATCAGTCCGAAATTATTGTTCTCACTTAATTGAGGTCCGCTTTATACGGCCATCCCTTATTTGTTCAGATTATTGAGATAAAGGTCATTAATACATTAAACGCGTTTTATAGTTTTCACAGCGTCCTTAATTATTTCTCGGAGGAAATTTAAATACCTCAGTAAATACGCTTAATATTCTAAAGACCACAATTAATTCCGTCAAAGATAGTGTCGTGATAACACCATGCACTAAATGTTTAATGTATTGTGTCACACAAAATGTTTAATGCAGTATGCACGTTCCTAATTCACTTCTGTGATTGGATTCCACTTCGATTTCTGCACTTACACTACAGTTGCATCTAAGAAGATTTCTTCCATTTTGATTCCATGAAGACTAGAGAATGTTTTCAAAGTCGTGTATTTGCGATGAAAAGTGCTCAATACCTAAAAACGTTTTGGCGTTCGTTTCAAATTTACTTTGTTTTAACTTTATTTTGTAGTTTACACCGTTAGCAACCTTTTTAAATGTATCTGGTGAATGAGAAACACAAAAAAATAGTTAAATATTCTCATATTAAATACAATTATTATTCATGCTGTAAAATTGACGCCATATGACACATCATTTTCTCTTTGGCGTACCATGTAAAATTTCTTCATTTTAGCATTATTTTACAGATAAAGCACTAAACATACTTTTTAAGTTTGTTTGTCGCTTGAGAAACGTATGGCAAAAAATTTTCAATAAAAGTGAATACAGTCATAATCAAGTGGAAAAGTATATTTGTTAGTTCAAGAGCGCGTGTTACGTTATACTTTCATGTCCTTATTTGAAATATAATGCTGGACTTTAATTTTTATAACAAGAATCTGTCAGTTTCCGCCTTCAGGAAATCAATCGCTGCAGACATTTTAAAAATACTGGATCTGGTTTCCCGTGGACTATACTGCAAGACCAAAAATGAATTACCCTTACTTGACCACTGGGAAGAACAGTTTGGAACAGCTAGAGTGATCTATTCTAAATATATATTACATTATAGTTTAGTTTAGTGCCTCTTGTAGTGGCATGCGCCATTTATGTTAATTCAATAGTCATGCAAGTATATTTCTAATAGTTCACAAAATTTTATTTAACATCTTCAAAAATATACATCCAATATTGTCCCTGTTAATCCTAACAGTGTCCCCAAAACGTGATGTATATCCTCCACAAACCCTGGCTTGTACGTGACTTCATCGTGATCTATCTTAGTCACCAGTCTCCTCAGCTCTTCCAGCCGCTCACACATCAGCGAGACTCCGGGGACATGTTCTGCATACACGTGTTTAACCTGAGTGTAAAAATCTCCCTCCCTGTTGCCCAGCGTCGTGAGAATTGTCTTGCAAATGTCTTTGATGCACCATAAGTATGGCAGTTGTTGGTTGTTGCGCTCCACTTTCTGTAGGAAAATTTAACATTATTATTAATCGTGGATCAGGTTCATGAATTTGTGTACGGATCCAAAATCGTCCAGTCCCTTCCATTTGAAGCGGGAAGGATGAGATTCAAAGAGATTTGAGGAGAGTTACAACACTCGCGCTCTCGTTTCAGCGCTATTGCTTCAGTCGCCTGTGAGAATTCGCAGGGTTTTTTTACATGCATGGAAATTGTCGAGTGTAAAAGGGACTTACGGTCATAAAGTAAGTGCTACTCCGAGGCGGAGGATATTTTTAATTTTGTGGACAAAATTTCATACTCCCCAAAACTTGGTACCCCATCAAGATAACGGTCTCAATGTTTCATACCCCATCATAAACGACAAGTTTAAAAAAATGATTACACTGTGGATTAAATATGCTGTGCAATAGTCTCTCTTACAGCCGTTCTTTGAATCTTAGTGTGTTACCATGTACTCCTCTCCACGAGCTCATGAAGATGAATAAGATCACAACACAAAGAGCAACTGCAAGGGAGACTACCTGAGCAATGGTCAAATCTTTTATGAGACAACGATGGCAGTGATGTATGAAGAATTATTTGGACCATAAACGGAGCCGTAATAATAAACTGTATTATAACACAATTTTTGTATTGAAACAAACAAATTTTGTTTCATACGCCCTCTTTAAAGTGATAAATTTATTTCACACCCCACCCAGATCCCTGAAAAAATTTCATACCCCATCCCAATATTTTCCGCCCCGGGGTAGTACTTACTTTACGACCGCTCCCTTTGGTGACGCAGTCAGTAAGCGCCTTTCACTAATTCTCAGTTCGTGGGTTCGTTTCTCGCCAGGGACTCATGTGAAAAGAGTGCGTCAACGCTCTGTCGAATGTCATGGGTGTTCTGCCGAATGTCATGGGTTTCCTCCCACAGAGAAAGTTGACAGGGTGGGTTAGGAATAACATAGTTGGGAAAGTAATAGCACAATTGTTGTACAGATAAATAGGCTAAGTACACGCGTCAAAACTGACAGCCAGTTTCGATCACAAGCTTTAACAAAGTTAAGTTTCATAAGTTGTGCTGCACCCTGAGAACAAGTTATCAACCGACAGTGGTGTTACAGCTGAACACTGATCACTGAAAAGTCCCAGCGACAGGGAGTGAGCTGAATCAGTATTGTATAATATAACTCTCCTCAACTCTCATTAACTTTGAGCTGGACCAGCTGGCTCAAATTGTGTGGAAAGATGACAAGAGTTTTTGTTACGGCGTAGTAATATATACAGTCAACTCTCACATATACGACTCTTGCTCTCGTTTGACCGAGGCACTGGTCACTGGAGTCGTGCAAACTCTGGTTTGCCAACTTTCCTTAAAATTCTCGAAAACTGTTACCTTTTGCAAATGCGTCAACCAGTTTCTGAACACTTTATTAATATTCAACATGTCATCCTTTTGCCTTTCCAACAAGCCCTGACGATCATCTAAATTTTTCCTACCATTTTCTAGAGCTTTCTTCTTCTGAATCACTTCAGACAATGACAAGCATTTAAGGAGATCCAGCGATGCCTCAGAGCCGTTACCTGATGATGACATTATGTAAGCAGAAATCGTATTTTATCGCTTGCTTTTGTTTTACGCCTTTATATTCTGGTGCGATATATTTTAGCGACGCTACAGACGTGATATATTATTAATAGTTGATTCAATGCAGTGTGCTTTAATAGATGCAAAAATATAGATCCTGATTGAGGGATTTAAAAATTCATGGCTTTATAAGACGCGCAGGTGTACCCTTGCAAAGATAGGGCCAAAGGTCAAATGATCAATTTGCAGCAATATTTTGAAATTCACAGTCATCGAAAATTTTGTTTATTCCCAGAGCTCGAGAGTGGTACAATGCAAAAAATCCCCGAGTATTCGACTCAAAGCTGGACAATGAGTAAAACTAGGAGTTATTATCGCAAGGAAAGTGCTGCCTCCCCCCCCCCCCCCCCCCCCCCCCCCCCCACAATTTGCTGAATAAGAGGCTGTTTATTTGATCCCGCTTTGCCAGGACGAGATGTGAGGTATAAGTTGAAATTGGTGTATTGAAATAAGTTACGGTGCACGATTTAGCAAAAAACTACATTGTTTTGGAGAGATAGATTATAGTTAAAAACTGTAAACGAAAGGTCAGTAATGCACCCACAAGGACTCGCATGAAACTTTACTAAAAAATGAGTAAATTTGCTCATACTAGTTATAGATTCGAGTGATTACAAAATCAGAGTTTTTAATCTTCTTGTAAAAGCCTTCCTCAAAACAATGTGAATTATGGCTTTTTCAATTTGCAAAATATATACATTATATCATTTCAAATCGGTTTCTTCCTATTTCCAACTGGCCTCCTAGCAGATGTATATCAGTACGATGTATATCAGTACGATAAATGTCAATGCATTCAAAGCCATATCAGTTCGGATATACGCTTATGCCTGCCCCATATAGTATCATACATTCTGATTCATAACATTATAAGCGCGATTTGGTTTAAAAAAATTATAGTAACATAAAATTAGTAAGTTAAATTTTTCTTGGGGGCAGTTGCATACTCAAGGGGGAGACAGTGACTGCTATATTATTTTAATATAATAGTTACTGTACCCCTCATCACTAGTTACTAGTGGATTATGCATAGGTTATTTTCTCTCCCTTCCTTTCTTCTACTCCTTTGAATCCTTAGTGGTCCTGAACATCCCTGCTCGTATACACGTCGTTTGACGACCCCTGTGTTGCTTTCTGACTTGAGCCTTTCCATATGATCGTAAAAATAGAGTCACGATCTTTCTCAATGGTCAGTTTATAGTAGTTTATACATGTAATTGCCGTAAACCGCATATAAATCATAACTATTCTCTAGTTATAATCACTCCGCGCGTAGTGCCGTAGTTTCAGTTCTAAAATGTCGATCGACTCTCGCTCGACATAATCAACAGTTAGAGATTTTGTAGTTGGAAATGATCGTACATGTGAGCATGGATTGTAAAAATTTATTTTATTATCCATGATGTGAGGGAGAGTCAAATTCAAGTACTTTTCAAAAACATTCAACGCGCCATGTATCACTAAATTCAAGGACTTTTAAATACTGAAGAAAAGGGGTTAGAAATCAGTAAAATCCGACGTTGAATTGTTCAAAATGCGACTTTAATGATTTTCAAACGACTTTGTCAGATATGAATATGCAAAATCAATTCAACAAAATGTCCGTTTGGAATGTTAAACAGTTTCAGAAAATATCCGCAAACTAAAGCAAGAAGACAGGAGCAGTTGCGAAAACTCCTACAAAACCACTTCAGGGGGCCAGTTGTTCAAAGATGGATCAGCGCCAACCCTGGGTCAAAATTTAACCTGCTGTTTTAGTTTATGTATTTGGGCTTCGGAAATTTTGTATCTGACCGGAACAAATTTGATAAAATTAGAATGAGGTCCATTTTCGCTAGATATTTGGTAAACATTCACCAGATCTGTCCATTGATACAGAGACAAAAGTTCGGGTCGGATTGACCCGTTCACAATGTATAGGATTGACCCGTTCACAATGTATATAAATACAAACGACAACGTCTTTTTAACAAATTTTTATTCCGTACCGCCCACAGGCCTCTCATATAATTACAGGTGAATTAATTAGCATATACTACGTTTGCCACAAATATACATTATACAAACAACAAAGTTCTCCGACCTAGATACTCAAATTGCAACGATTTTCGTCGCTATATCACAACAACTCGTAAGTACACAGTCGGTGAACAGAACTCTAGAGATATAAATTAAGGTGTTTTAAAGCGCGAACGTGTCAAAAATAGAAAAATACGGAGCCATATGTGTGCGTGGGCGGTACGACTTGGTGTTTCAACTTGCAACAATCTCGGGAGAGGCACGTTCCTCTGGTGGCCCATTCTCCCGCGGAGGGGCAGATTCCTACGAAGAGAAAACAAAAACAATTAGGCCACAGTGCGAAGCAAGCCTGGGAGCCGAATTAGTTTGGGAGTCATACATGTGGTCACGTAATGCCTAGTGGAGTGTTGATATTATATTTCTTCAATCAGTATTAAAACAGTAACTTGCCTACACCACACATTACAGAAGAAAGAACCAAACTGTATAAAGGCCTATACAGACCAGACGCGATTTGGAAACGCGACGCGAATTTTCAGTTTTCAATGACATTTAACTTTAATAGTTTTCAGTGTTTTTCAAATATTCGGGACCACTTAAGCAATTTTAGCTATTTGGTCTGCATATCTTGGAAAACTTTTACCCGTTGGCAGTTTTATTTGTTTTTGAAAACTGAAAATTCGCGTCGCGTTGCCGAATCGCGTCCGGTTTGTGTGGGGCTTAACACGCTACCAAACACAACCCGTGTTCCCGACAGTTGTCTTGTCGGGGTTTGAATGTTTGCTTTTACTACTTTTACTGATTCCAAAAATATATTCCAGAGGTTCAGATTTGACTTCCACTGCTGCTACCGCTACCGTTAAGGGATCATCGACCAATGAGATGCGTTTGATATATTCGATTAACCAATCAGATGCGTACTGAGCCAGGTAGAGGTAGTGGAACTCCAATCTGAACCTCTATATTGACAGCCATATTACATCACCAACCCTGACATGCCAGGTCAACACAACTATGTCCAAATGGAAAAGGGGCCTCCCTAGCAGACATGCCCCCGCCTATATTCTTACCTCAGGTTGTTCTTTACCACGTTCTCCACCACGTTCTCCACCACGTTCTCCACCACGTTCTCCACCACCATCAACACCATCCTGTCTTGGTCCACGATATCTTCTTCGTCGCTGTTGTGGTCGTCTGCGGCGCGGACGGTCGCGTTGGCCGTCCTAGTAGAAATTTAGAGATTGTGAATATACAATTTTGAATTCCGAGTTGATGAATGTTGCAACCTCCTCAACTTCCATGCACTCTTGTCAACCGAAACAGCTACACCCACCTTTTGTTCCTCATTTTCATGGTCTCGGTCATGTGGTTCTTCATTATCAATGCCATCCCTCTCACCATCCTGTGGGCTCCTACGGTCCTGACCATCCTCCTCTCCGTCCTGTGGTGGTCGTCGAGGACGGTTGTATCTCCTGCGGTTTTGCCGAGGTCGATAGTTCCGAGGGCCATTCTGACGAGGCTCGTCGTTTTGCTGACCATCGCCTTGTTCGTCACCAGGAGGGTGGTCGCCTGGTGGGCCATCGCTATGTGGAGCGTCACTAGGTGCTTGGCGGTTGTATCTCCTGCGGTTTTGCCGAGGTCGATAGTTCCGAGGGCCATTCTGACGAGGTTCGTCGTTTCGCTGACCATCGTCTTGTTCGTCACGAGGAGGGTGGTCCCCAGGTGGGGCATCGCTATGTGGAGCATCACTCGCTACTTGGCCATCACTTTGAGGATCATCTGTACGTGGACGTCTGGCAAAATATGAAAGAATTAGCCCTTCACAAATAATCTATTCCTTAAGCACCAATAAACCTTTAGATCATCTAAAGTGCACTCATCTATCATAGTCTATCTATCCAAATGCCTTACCGAGGTCTGCGTCTATTTCGCCGTGGTGGTGGTCGTCTATCCTGCTCTTCCTTCTGTTCGTTGTCGGGTTGAGTTTCATTTCCCGATCTATCAGGGGCACTATCATCTGTTTGATTTCTACGTGGATAGTATCGACGTCGGTTGTATCGTCGGCGGTTCCTGGGAGGTGGGTTGCCGTCATCTCTTTCCTCTTGATCACCCTCATTGCCACCTTCGCCATCGGTGTTTACAGGACGAGGCCGTCTCTGCCAAGGTCTGAAGTTTCTGCGGCGGTTAAACCTGGATCTTCTATCAGCTGAAAAATAAGTGCAAACAACTTGTTAGGGGTTGCACAGTGGCTGGTTCATGTACCTTTCACATTGTGACATGGTTTAAATTCCCATAATTTGAGTTGTTTGATTTTAATTTCATCTCATTTCGTTTCAAAAAAGTGCTTTGACTCTAGATACCGCAGATTTTCATGCACTGTGATTCTTTCCTTTAGAAACACTGAATCAATAAAGCCTGCCGCACACAAGAGAAACTTGCTGAGCTAACCACCTCGCATGGCGGCTAGCTCAGCTACACATTTTCACCACACACATTGGGAAAACTACTTAACAACAACATACTTGACATTATTGTTTGCATTTTCCTCCATTTTGTTCAAAGTCACATGAAGAAATTATGGTTTCTCATCGGCTAATTGATTCAAGCAGCTCAGCACTAAGCTTGCAACAGCCACAGGCTTTGAGATTTTTTCTCGCAAGGTAATTTAAAATATCAAACACAATAGATATTTTCCTCAAGAGGTCAAATCCTTACAAAAACTATCCGCACACCAGGCCTAGACGTTTGAGGCGCGCGACGGAATCAACAGTTAGGAGATTTTGTAGTTGGAAATGATCGTACATGCGAGCATGGATTGTAAAAATCTATTTTATTATCCATGTGAGGGATAATAAGGGCGTCCTCGAGACGCGCCTTTTAACACGCGCCTTGTTTGTTTTAAGAGTACAAAATCGCGCATCTGTTTTTTTTATTCTAAATGAATTTTTGCCAGAATAAATCCTGGCCATTTAGACTAGTTATAAAAGAATGACTGATTTAATGCTGATAAAATGAAATGCTGATAAAATGAAATAACTGCATGCTGGTCGGCGAAGGAGCATAAGGAGAATCTTCAACGTGCATTAGAATTTCACAACGGGAGAAAAAGATGCAAAGTCAAACATGACAGCAACACCGTGGTGAAGAAATTCTGTTAAAAAAGTGTAGAATTGAGAACGACACCATAACCATTGACGATAACGATGATTCGTCAAGCTAGTCGGAAAGCAATGTTGAGATTTTTATTGATGTTTAAGTATGATGTATCGTAAATACACATATTCACCGGTACACACATTTTATAGTGCCTATACTAATTTCATCTAAATTCCAATGGTAAAATTGTTTTGTTCTACATAAATTTTCAATCATTTTTGTGAATGTTATTCTTGTCTGTATAGCCAAAAAGCGTAATTTTTACCGCTTTTTTAATCGCGCACCTGACGTTAATATGGTGCGTGATACGCCGCGCGTCTGCCCAAATACTTACGGCCAGGCCTGGCACACAAGAGAAACCTGCAGTGAGATAGCTGCCACGCGAGGCAGTTAGCTCAGTAAGTTTCTCTTGTGTGTGGCAGGCAGAGCCTGAAATAATTTTAAAATTTGTCCGGAAAAACTTCCGATCAAAACGAAATTTGACCGGAAATTTGCAAAATTGACCGGAATTTTTTTAGTTTAGTTTGAACAAACTCTGTCAAGCATGCAGACGTGCACTGAGTAAATCACTCTACTTGCAATAATAAAACACAAATGTTTAATTCTGAATTGCTTATTGGAATAGTTATAGTGAATAATAATTTAATCACGCCCGCCGATGCTGTTTTTATCTTGACCCGACAACACCACGCTGTAAACCACCATCTTGTTTATTGGGCTCGTGAACTATACTTTCCAGTTGATTACTTTATATTAGCCTAATATAGATAATCCAAACTTACAGATGTTACTCACTGTGCTGAGCGCCGACCCTATCATTAAGAAAACATTTTTCTTTTTCTCAAAATTTGGCCGGACAAAATTTCCAATCATTTCAGCATTTGGTCGGAAAAATCGGAATTTGGTCGGAAAACCGCCGGCCGTTATTTCAGGCTCTGGGCAGGCTTAAGGGATGATCCTTACTTGACTTCTAAGGAGTACAGTTCAGAACAGATTGAGTTCGACTAAAACTTACGAGCATATTTGCTTCCCTGTACAGCAGTGCCATTGGGTCCGGTCACATTTTTTGCTTCTTTACCCTAAAATAATGCAAACCAGATAACATGTTTAACCTGTACATTTCGGATATAAAAATGTGCGTACCCTGTATATCTCATAATAACGACCGACAAAGGACAAGTGTTGCGTCATGCAGTACCAACCTTTATCCCTTCGACAACATTGAACTCAACCAACTCATTATCCCCGACACTTCGCAAATACTTCTTGGGGTTGTTCTTTATGATCGCAGTCTAAAGTATCACACAGATAATAGCACATCAAAATTGAGAAAATTGTGCTTGGAAGGTTTTATATAAATTTCACAAACAAAGTTTGTTCATGCAAGAAAAATTAACAGTCCCACCGTATTTCTAATGATTAATCGCCCACAAAAGAAAACATTTTGTAGTCATAGATTTTATAGTCATAAATCTTGTAGGCATAAAACTTAAAACATGATTTTTGGAACTACACATCTGAACAATGGCTTAGAGGGTATTTTATGACAGTGTACTGTATGCAAGTAGAACAAGATCAATGATGACTTTTGTACTTGATGTTTTTGATGGTATATGTATATGAGTACTTGGTATGGTAATGTGTAATTTCAACATTCTGAATTTTACAAATTTGTAGCAACAATGAAATAATTCACCATTGACCAGTTTGTAAACTAATCATCTGATTGGCTACTAGAAAACAGCACGCAAAATGCTCAGTTCACGAACTAGCTTCTAAACTTCGATGTTGGACTTTTGAACTTGACAAATTTGCAAAGTTCTGAACAAATTTCAGAACATTTTAGTTGTGAAAAATTTGTTGATATCAACTGTAAATTGCTTATTTTGAAACCTATAGCTGGGTTTCAGTCACGTAATAGGTTTAGTGTTTGGTGGTCAACTCCAAATGGAAACGCATTTATTGAATCGAGTTAAATATTCATTATAAATATTGATCTTCTGTTTGGTATCAAATATTTTCAATTTAACAAAATTTACTTGCTTTCACAATGCATAAAGCAGTAATATGTGTAAAGTGAAACCCACCTATTGAACAGACTTTTAACAAATTTTGCAACATATAGATGAAAGCAACATGTTCATACAATTGCAACCTTTGGTTTAAAATTTAAATATTTAGTTCTTGAAAAAATCTATTAAAGAGTACTTGATCTTGTATCAACTTTCTCAGTCAATTGAATATAAATGGCCAAGGTCAACAAATCCCCCAAAATTCTTGAAATCGATAACCACTTCCGTTAAATAATACATTTTTTACGCAGGCATCCCCTTGCGGCCTTCCACACAAAACAGGGACAGCAGCACATGCCCGAACGGGTCAAACGCATTTATTTCGAAATAGTTTCATTTCCCGCTTTGCCTTTGATCGCGTGAACAACACGAAATCAACAACGCCATTTGAAAAATTTCGCAAGTGAATCATGGCGCGTGCAATCATTTGCATTCGCAACTCAAAATTTTCTCAACCGAAAACTTTTCAATTCTCCCCCTCCGATCGCCCTATTTTTTGCAAACTTTTACCTGATGGACGAATACGTCTTCGTTGTTGTCGTCCCTAAAAGAATCGGGAAAGAAAACAAGCAAATTTAAAGAACGAATTCAAATGTATTGTACTTCAATTCGGGAGCCATGAAATTTAAGTAGAGTTTTACAAATATTTAAATTGCCAAAAAACACGTACGCACGTGGGCAATCTACGTTGATTTTACGCAGGAAAACGAGTTATTTTAATAAATTTCCCAAGCAGGAAACAACAATACCTGTTTATAAAACCATAGCCGTTTCTAACATTGAACCATTTCACCTTTCCCGTGACTTTCTCGCCCAGGCTGGAGTCGTGACAGTCGTCTTCGTTCAAATCTGAAATTGCAGACAAAAAACGGTTAAATCACGTCAGATTTTGAACGTAAAGCAAGCAAATAAACTTAAAAATAAAATATGTTTATGATTGACTTTGTACAACGGTTCCTTAGCGAAACAAATGGCATCAAGCGACTGGCCACGAAGACACAAAATGGTGGCATGTGAATTACTGGTGGCACAATTAACGACTTTCAAGTCGTGTTTTTTTGCTCCTACCTTCCCGATCGGGCTTCACAGGAGCTTGCTCTTCAGCGGTGTTATCTGGATTACTCATTGATGTTTTTGATGGTACATTTAAAGCGCAAATACGGCGCCTTGATGGTGGATAAACTTTCCCTCACTTCCTTCGCCTTGCTTTTCCAAATTCCAACATGTACTGTCTTCACAAACTGGAAAATAGTTCTCAGACTTCTATCATTCCGCGGCCACATCACGATGGCCGGGGAAAATATCCAGGAGTTTGTCGTAGGCCGGGTATTTTACCCCGGAATTTTTGTTCCTATATCGGCATAATTCATTCTTTCGTTTATAATTATTTTTCTAATTCTCTCCTATGCTTTCAGTTAGGCAAAAATTTAATTCGTGTTTGAAAATAAAACCAACGTCTTAGCTATAAATTAAACTGTAGAATTATCGTTCTCAATTTTTCAGGTTAGTCATACCTAATTTTAAGAATTTTTTATCACTGCACATTTTATGCCAAAAATTTCCGAATGACTAAGAAAATTTCCGAATATTCGGAAATTTTTGGCGACCCCCCCCCGTCGCCAACAAAATTTTGGTCAGTGTACCATTTTAAGGGTCAAAAATTTTTTCCGGACATACCAAAAGCCAGATATTAACTAAAAATTCCCTGAATCTCATGATTTTCGTACAAAAAACATATACTATTATTTAATT